CGCATTCATTTCTGAAAGAGACCGTGAACGTATCACTCGTGTTGCGACTGTATCCCTTTCTGACTTAAGCACGATGGAACGGAAACTGTACATTCCCGACACTAAGAAGTTTGTGGACTTTTTAGTACATCGCAGAAGTAAGCATCAGGGCAAACAGCTGATCAAAGGTCGACCCAGGTCGCGAATCATTCCCATCGCACCCCTAGCCAAAGTATCACCCAGCCGCGACTCTAAATTGAACGTAACAATGACGTCACCCAATCAGAACGTGGTCCAGAGAGCCGTGGCGGCTCAGAAGCGAACTAAGGCTATAAAACGCAAAGCAGGAGACAAGATTGTCACATCGAAGAAAGTACGTCGCGAGGGTAACAGCTCTAAACGATCCTTCATCGAGTTTAAAGATACCCCCGCTGTCGACCCCAGAGACATCTTCAACCAGTAACCATGTCGGTACTGACAGAGAAAGAGTTTTCCGAAGCCCTGCCAAATAGCTTAGATTTATTCGAACTGCCACCCTATCAAACCAGCATCCTTCAACATTACTACGAGAACGTAAGGCCCCTGTCCGTCATCACCGATTCCAGTCCGGTGGAATTTCACATACCCAATGGAGGGAAAGACTACATCGACTTGAGCAAGACCCGACTTCACGTCAAACTCAAAGTCACTCACACCGACAAAACGCCCTTAGCCGATAAAGAAAAAGTAGGGCCCGTCAACCTCACTTTGCACAGCTTGTGGAATCAGGTGAGCGTGTTCCTACAGGGACAACAAGTGAGCTCCAGCAATGCCGGTTACCCTTACAAAGCTCTCATGGAAACCGTCCTCGACTACGGCGCCGATACCAAGACCAGTCAGCTGACCAGTCAGCTGTATTACAAAGATTCGGGTGTCACCGTGGATGATTTTAACTCCGCTGATCCCTATGCCGGTAGCAATGACGGTCTCATCAATCGAGGAAGCTTTATCGCCGGAAGCAAGTCGCTCACCCTAACGGGGCCCCTCATGGAAGACGTGTTCGGTTTCGACCGTCATCTGGTGAACGGCGTGGACGTGGGGCTCAAACTGTTTCGCTCCAACACGACCTTTGTCTTGATGTCCGACGAGACCGATACACATTACACCGTCGAACTGCAAGACGTGTACCTGAAAGTATGCAAACTGAGGATCAACGACGCTCTCATCGTGGCCCACAACAAACAGTTCGAAAAAGCCAACGCCCTGTACCCATACGAACGATCCATGATCAAAATGGCCTCGGTCGCCTCGTCCAGTCTGAGTTTTAACTGGGACGCCATGTTTCAGGACGAAGTCCCCAGTCGACTCGTGATCGCCTTGGTGAGGTCCGATGGGGTGAACGGATCGTACACGGTCAATCCCTTCTGTTTCCAAGGCAACATCGTTAAAAGCATGGGACTGTACTTGAACGGTACCAGTGTACCCGGACGGCCGTTAGAATCGAACGACGTCGAGGCTTACGCCGGTCTGTACGACTGGAATAACGAATGGCGCAAAGACAAAGGTTTGAACTTGGACCGCACGGAATTTTCCGTAGGTCATGCCTTGTACGTGTTTAACCTGCAAGACATCCAAGGCGACAGAGGGGAATATCTGAATCTGGTCAAGTCGGGTAATCTACGACTAGAAGTCCAGTTTGCTCAAGCCCTCGCCCATACCTTCAACGTCATCGCCCTGGCCAAGTTTCCGGCCCTCATCAAAATCGACCAAAGCCGTAATGTGTTTCTAAAGTAGACAATGTACAAACGACAGTTACAGTGTGCCATCCGTAGCGACCCCAGCCTCCGTACACACGTGGTGGGTGTGTACGCGAGAGATACATTAGCTAACATCACCGTACCTTCCAGTGGAAAACCATGGGGATGTGTGGCTAACACGGACCTAGCACGGGGCGAGGGTCAACATTGGGTTGCCTTTTACTTTGACGGGTGTGGAGTCGGCGAGTTTTTTGATAGTTATGGACAGAAACCCAGTTACTATCATCGTGAATTTGAATATTTTATCAAGAAACATTCTCGCAGTTATCGATATAACACGTCTGTTTTACAGCAATCTAGTTCGAGTGCTTGTGGATTCTATTGTTTATATTACGCGTTACAGAAATGTAGAAATAGTGCTAGTTTACGAGATATCGTACAGATGTTTTGTACAGACAAAACACGCAATGATGCGTATGTGACTCGCTTTATCTGTGACTATTTCAAGTACTGTTTCACGTGTTCTACGATATAACACGATCTTTCCTCCTGTAGAGTGGTAGACGAGTCAATAAAAACAGAGAAAATGTCTATTGTGTTTCAGTTCTATATATGACATGGACGTATGTATAGGGTTCTATGTAAGTTGGGTTATACGGTTTTTATGATTATTTAAGATCAAAGTCTCACGAGTACGCGTCATTGTCGAGTGTGACACCGTACGATTCAGACATGGCGAGATACGTCCTGCGACATTACACGTTTTTCAGACAACTTCTTTCGTCGAACGATTACCAAGAAACCTTGAGCGATATTCGCAGCATGAACGGCGAGCAAATCAAGGGTACTAAAGCCATCGTAAAGCGATTGCTCGATGCTCGCATCCTGGTAACACGCGGTGAGAATCGTCGTTTCTTACAGCCTTATCCCCACAACCATTATTTGAGAATGTTGCGACGTATCGCTCGTCCCAACACGACGAATAGAAGCATTAAGCGAACCCTGTTAAACCATACTCCCTTGATTCAGTTTATATTCGAGTACGAACACGTCAGACAGGTCAGAGACGAAGCCCAAAGAGCTCTCCAAAGACTGGCTAGACGTCAACAACGGACACTCGTACCGAGGGCTGCATAAATAAGCCCGCACCGGTGACAGAATGTATCAGTTCAAACAAACACTCCGTGAAATATGTCCGAGAAATGTTTGCTCCCTTTCATCACACCTACCACCTTGTCCGTGATCGGGGGCACGTGTAGCGGCAAGACCTATTGGACGAAACGCCTGTTAGAGAATGCCAGTACAGTGTTTGATAAGCCACCCGACCTCATCGTGTACTGTTACGGGGTGTGGCAGGATCTGTACGCCGACGTGCAGCAATCTATTGCTAACATTCAGTTTCACGAATCTTTGCCCAGCGAAAGCCAACTACGTTTGTGGTCCGATCAGTCGAGCAAAAACATGATTCTCGTGTTAGACGATCTCATGATGGACATATGTACCAGTAAACTCATGTTAAACGTGTACACCACCTTGTCGCATCATCTGGGCATTACCGTAATCAATCTGCTACAGTCCGTCTACCCTAAAGGTCCCTGTTCACGGACGGTCAGCGTGAATACGCATATGTTCGTCTTAATGAGCAATCCCCGTTCCGCTCACGAATACAAGATTTTGGCCTCGCAAATATTTCCAGGTCAAAGCAAGTATTTTTCGGAATCTTACAAGGATGCCGTGGAAGGGAGGAAATACGGCTATTTAGTCGTGGACGCTTCGCCGTACAGTGACCCGGAATACGGACGCTTACGCACCGGCATCTTACCCGGTGAACTTTGCACCCTCTATTTTCCCAAATAAAAAGCGACAAACAAGCTTTAATCGAGTCAGTCTTACAGCAGCCGCGCTATGAGCAAGGTCTACTTTTGGACGATCGTGTGTAACCCGCCACCCTCTACCTTATCCGTAAGAGCTACCCCGCACCAGACCGAAGAGATCACCTTAAAAGAGAGCCCTACGTGGTTTTCATCGAAGGAAGCGTGCATCACATCTCTTAAAGAAGCTTGGCGGATTGGAGTGGACCAACCCGATTCATACGGCGGGCCTGTAGGTTATACGTACAAAAAGGTTCGCTTCACACCATGAGCGAGTGTATTCGAGATAACGTGGATTTTCTCCACGTACTGAGTCGGTCTAAGCCTGTACAGCGTCAAACGTTACTGTCTCATCTGTCCAAAAACCAGTTTAAGGCCATCATCACGTTGTTACATAACATTATCATCGGACACATTACCGTGACGGATCGCGAGAAAAAGACCTTGTACCGGTACAGAAAGATCATTCGGTTACTAGCCAGCAAACGGGAAGGATACAGAGCTAAAAGGGAGTTGCTGGTTTCTTTTCACTTTATATTACCACCTTGTGTGAGAGCGCTCGACAGGTATTTCGCACCCGAACATGACGAAACCCATGATCCTGTTATCTCACGAGACGTACCATCGCCTGATCCAACCTCCTCCGAAGATGGAAGCCAACCCCCCTCCAGTCCTGAAACCCCCACCAGCCCCTATGCCGCAACAGCAGCAGACTCCAGACAACACTACAACTGAGGAACCACCGGCTGAGCGGGATACGTCCATCCACGATAATATCACCTCGCCACACAACAAACTAACAGGAGGGTGTACATCAACTATGACAGCAGTGGACACGCCTGCACACCCACCTAGTGTTTTAAATCAACTGTTACAAGATGTTCGGTCGGATAAGCTTAAGGGGAAATTGGTGTCCCTGTGGCAATATCTCAACCAACAAAAAGCTCTCGGTCGCATCAATTGGAATACTAATCTCGAATTGATAAACAAACATGGACATACTATCAACCATTCCAATGTCATCGAGTTCATTCGACAGTTAGTGTTACAGAAAAATCATTACAATCTTGATGATGAATTTCAAACTTTCCTTCAACTACTAAAACTACTGCCTGCATCACAGACCTTTTTCACACAAGTAGGAAAAGGTCAGCAAAAGCGAAAATTAGCTACTATGAACAAAACAAAAAACATGTTTGTTCAAAGCAAAGTGAAATATGGTGTTCCTGGAACAAGGAAAGCAAAGCTTTTGGAAACCTTTTAGTAACAATGTTACTGAAGTTGTTGGAATGTAAATATATGTAATATTGGTTAGGTATTATGAGATGTTACTGTAAAGCAACAACTTTCTGAATAAAAGTTAAGGAATTATTCATTTGTATGTTATATATGTATGTATGTTATATGTATGTATGTTATATACATATGTATGTATGTATGTATGTATGTATGTATGTCGGATGATCTTGTACGAGTCGTTGTATTATCATTTACGAATTATCTCCCTTGGACCATACCTTCAAGATGATGTTCAGTACAAACTAGGAAAATTCAAGTCATTTTCCTGCAAGTTCAGTTTTTACACCTGTCCAAGCTGAACAACATCATGATGATATGAAACATCAGAAATTTAAACATTTAGAAAAAATAGGACATAATACTGACAGAACATTAAAGAATTTTTATTCGAATCACAGTTCCTTTTATACAAAAGTATTTCTTAAAAATCACCTTTGAGGAAAACAAAAACAAATTATCACATCCCTGATGAGTTCAAAAACTTGGAAAAAAAAAAGGTTTTCAACCGTAGCTCTAGGACTTGAACGGTCAGCAGCATCTCGATTGTACATAAATATAAAATCACATCCATGATCATGAAAAAACAAAACAACAAATTATCACATCCCTGATGAGTTCAAAAACTTGTTCATATCACATGATATATATATGGAAAAAAAAAAAGAAAAAAAAAAAAAGGTTTTCAACCGTAGCTCTAGGACTTGAATGGTCAGCAGCATCTCGATTGTACATAAATATAAAATCACATCCATGATCATAAAAAAAAACAAATTATCACATCTCTGATGAGTTCAAAAACTTGTTCATATCACATGATACATATGGAAAAAACAAAAAAGGTTTTCAATCGTAGCACCACAACATCAATGGTCAGCACCATCTCCATTATACTAGTAAGTAGTATCAATAAAGTTCTTTTAGTTATCAAGTGAACTTGTTCATATCACATGATACATATGGAAAAAACAAAAAAAGGTTTTCAATCGTAGCACCACAACATCAATGGTCAGCACCATCTCCATTATACTAGTAAGTAGTATCAATAAAGTTCTTTTAGTTATCAAGTGAACTTGTTCATATCACATGATACATATGGAAAAAACAAAAAAAGGTTTTCAATCGTAGCACCACAACATCAATGGTCAGCACCATCTCCATTATACTAGTAAGTAGTATCAATAAAGTTCTTTTAGTTATCAAGTGAACTTGTTCATATCACATGATACATATGGAAAAAACAAAAAAAGGTTTTCAATCGTAGCACCACAACATCAATGGTCAGCACCATCTCCATTATACTAGTAAGTAGTATCAATAAAGTTCTTTTAGTTATCAAGTGAACTTGTTCATATCACATGATACATATGGAAAAAACAAAAAAAAGGTTTTCAATCGTAGCACCACAACATCAATGGTCAGCACCATCTCCATTATACTAGTAAGTAGTATCAATAAAGTTCTTTTAGTTATCAAGTGAACTTGTTCATATCACATGATACATATGGAAAAAACAAAAAAAGGTTTTCAATCGTAGCACCACAACATCAATGGTCAGCACCATCTCCATTATACTAGTAAGTAGTATCAATAAAGTTCTTTTAGTTATCAAGTGAACTTGTTCATATCACATGATACATATGGAAAAAACAAAAAAAGGTTTTCAATCGTAGCACCACAACATCAATGGTCAGCACCATCTCCATTATACTAGTAAGTAGTATCAATAAAGTTCTTTTAGTTATCAAGTGAACTTGTTCATATCACATGATACATATGGAAAAAACAAAAAAAGGTTTTCAATCGTAGCACCACAACATCAATGGTCAGCACCATCTCCATTATACTAGTAAGTAGTATCAATAAAGTTCTTTTAGTTATCAAGTGAACTTGTTCATATCACATGATACATATGGAAAAAACAAAAAAAAGGTTTTCAATCGTAGCACCACAACATCAATGGTCAGCACCATCTCCATTATACTAGTAAGTAGTATCAATAAAGTTCTTTTAGTTATCAAGTGAAATTCTCCTTGTCTGATATCTTGTCAGATATCTCAGTGGGGTACGTACTGGGGGAGTTGTGGTTTCCTTGATTGGAGTTGCGGTTTCGTTCATTGAAGTTGTTGTCAAGCATTGTGCTGTAGGGACTGGAGAAGCAGTTGCAGGTAACTGGTAAACAGGTGTCCGCTGATGTGATGGGGGAGGTGATGGTGATGGTGGTGTTGGTGGTGGTGGCATATGCGGAGATAGTGGTGGTGATGGGATTTCGAAAGGTGATGGGGGGTGCAGATCATCATCAACATCAGCATCATCATCATCAACAACAGTAGTGTTAAGCGAAGGTGTGCGGGATCCGTTTACACATCTCAACAGTCGTGTAATACAGTGTCGTATTATCAGTTTAAGCACTTGCAGCAGGAAAACTAATGTCATCATGATCAACACACCAACTAATTCCTGTTGAATGACTGAAAAACCAACAGACAAAACAAAAATCTTACTTTAAGGAATGTGCTAAAGGCTTATGATGATTAATGATAAATAATACATTACATATCTGTCAATGGTATAGAACAATCTTTATATATCTTATTTTCAAATTGACTATGAAAGTTTCTATGATTAGTAACACAAATGTTACCTTTTCTTGATTTGAAGAAACAAAATAGAGCAAACAATATGGAAATTATGATTACAAACATGAAAATAGGGAGTAGGACTTTTAGTAACATACTGGAATTGGAAGATGAGATAAGATCATCCTTTGCAGTAGCTGCTGGTGTTACAGTAGTCCGTGGTGGCATTGACGATGTCATGATGGTGGTGGTGGTGGTGAGTGTCTCGGTAGCATCCGTGGCGGTAGTGGCGTCAGCAGCGGTGGGGGTTGTCATTGACGATGTCATGATGGTGGTGGTGGTGGTGAGTGTCTCGGTAGCATCCGTGGCGGAAGTGGTGACAGCAGTGGTGGGGGTTGTCATTGTCGTCGTCCTCAATGATGTCGATGGAGTGATGTCTGTTCAATAAGATAAACAATTCTAAGTATACCTTTTGTTTTCATTGTTGTATCGCAAGAACACACACACACACACACACACACACACACACACACACACACACACACACAGAGAGAGAGAGAGAGAGAGAGAGAGTTACCTACACGGTACTACCTTTAGATTAGTTTGAGAAAATCGTTTCAATCTTCAAGTGAGAAGGCTTTCATTAATAAAATTATTATCATGTGTTGCACATCTATTTATAATATAAAATTTAGTTCAATCGTGAAAAATTGGTTACTTACCGCATCTGACTCCGTTCACGTCGATGACATTCATGGGACGTATGATGTCGGAACAATCGACATCGCCCCCTCTGATTGTCATCAGATCCGGGAACAGGTTTCCTCGAATCGCCAGTTCATCGCCCCTCCCCAGCTCAATGCGGACGATACCCACGAAAGGCTTTCCGTTCATGTGAATGTACTTGACATTTGTCCTCTTGCATGATACGATCAATCCGGCACCGTTTGATTTACATGTACGTATATCCAATTCGGGTTTCTCTGTAAGTACAGAGCCGAGGGAGAACCAAACTATTAACAAACACTTAAGCATCATGACCATCTCCCTGTCGCATCCCGCGCTGGCTCACATGTGACTGATCGGCTTAAGATAAGCATGCGCAGAAGAGGCTTGCAGAACTCCGCATACAACTTTTTCATGATATTTACCCTAAGCGAACCCTATGCGGAGATGCTGACAATTAGTTTTCAACTGCTAATATAAGACAATTTTCATCTGTTCAGTTCGAATGTGATGACATTGTCTGGAAATATGTAATGAAAATCGATGATTGATGATTTTTACATGAATATGATTCGCTTCAGTTCGATGCAATAATTACTACAAGGCTAAGAAATTCAAAACATTTTTATTACACATCTAACTATGAAATATCACATGCGTTTCATTCCAGAAGATACTATGTACAACTGCATAATAATATATTATATATCTATCCACCTCAGAAGATTCTATGTACAACTGTATAATAATATATTATATATATCTCTCCATCATAGAAATCTAATCATTCGTGTCTATCAAGGTTACCATAATTATGTGAATGATATGATAAATATAGCCACTGACCCTATCCAATGTCTTCCGTGATAATACATTGATCAATTATCTTTGCTTTGAGGATAATGTGATATCAGTCCATTATTATTTGCAAAGTGACAGTCCATTTCTTTTGTCTCTCGTCAGTTAAATAAGTTTGACGAACCCACGTTTCGTCCTCGTGGAAAGGTGTCGGATCATAGCCGGCATGAACGATTCCATATTCAACCATATGTTGCTTTGCTTTTCGAAAAAGATCCTCGTGTGTCAGAGTTTTCATGACCTCATCGAAGTACCACGTGACCTCGGAGCTATAGCTCTTAGGATATAGACACGTGTGTTGTCGCTGCGAGGGATGGCTGATTTCACATCCGGGACATGGACAGTTAGTTTCTTTAATTCTTATCTCTATACCATCGCGCAGTGCCGCGACATAGTAACCATCGAGGATATGTTCAAACTCCAGCCTCTGTTTCTCAATCTTCATTTCCTTGGGGAGCGGCAACACAAAGTTATAACTCCCGAGCTGTATGCGATACGGTCCCTCTGAGACCTGGAACTGCGTCGATTTAACTAACTCCAAAGCAATTGACAGAGCCAACATTTCATCGCTATAATATCGCTCATCCTCATGGACTGTGCGTCCTCGTCGATCCGTGATGATGAAATGATATTTCGTCGATGACATCGTTGAGCTGTTGCAGTTCATGGCGGTGCTGTTGATAATAACAAAAAACAAACAAAAATATATAAAAAATAAATAAAAATAACAAAACAATACGCATTACATATTCATTCCTATATGTGTTTAAAATGTAGTGTTATAAACGACATTTGCCTTTATTTCAATTCACTGTTTCCATAGCGATATGTTATTCTATTAATTCATTCATTACTTTCCTTTATCTAGCAGTTGTTTTGTTAACGAAATGAGTATAATCGGTTAACCTGATATAGGTAAGATGTGCATCCATCGAATACATGTATACACGTGTCTTCGTGTAGGCATGCTTCTTGCAGTTCTTGACTAGTAGTCATCCGCCTGTCTGCCACTCGTCATACAGGGGATAGTGCGCGTGCTTTAAACACCATAAACCATTGACAAGGAGAGATTTGCATCGTCTTACTCGGGAGCAATGTAACCATAGGGCAAGGATGTTACCCCGTCATCGAGTATGTACCTTGTCTAAAGGAGACAACGCCACTTTCCTAACCTTCACTGTGTACAATGTGTTGTGAAAAGACCTGATTTGTTGAAAAGTAGCCCAAAACTGTTTTCTATCAAACACACATTGTTTTAACATCTCATGACGTAGGTGTTTTTTCACCCAGGTACGCTGTACACCCTTAGCACGTTTCTCCTCTAACAGTACAGTACTCTTTTCTCCTTCCTCGCTCTCGACCTCCTGCTTTACTACAAAACTGTAGCATTTACTTTTCAATCCTACAAATTCGATGATAATATTATGTGCGGTTTCTGATTTCATAAGACCCGGCTCTTTATGTCTTTCTTTACTGTACAGCGGATGAGTCTTTGGAAAATTGGATGTGTCAAACAATTCCATGTGATAGCTCATAAACAGATAAGGGTCAAGGAGGGGTTTTTCTGGCGGAGCGCTCACGGCGAATAAGAGCGAATCTGTATCAGACATACACAGTTTCACCCGACTACCGTACTGTCTAACCAAAACGTCATACCAGAAAGAATAGATTCTTCTCTTGGCATGTTCCAGTAGTGAGTGAGTGAGTTATTATTTAACGTCACATGGGCAATATTTCAGCCATATCGTGACGAGAAATTACATTTATGATACATTTATGATACATATATTTAAACTGAATAAAAAGCTGTCAACGAAGGACAGTAGAATAACTAGAATATCACAGACTTGATTTAAAACTAGTTGAGAATATTAAAAGGCAGTAAGCATTAATGAACATCACAATTTAAAATGGGCTAGAAATCGTCAGCAACTGAAGGGAGATCACCATACTGGGGACCATGGGGACTTACAGTACTTTTGCTTCCTGCATGGACCCCGGCAGGATTTATATCATCCATGTTCCAGTATACAGAAACCCACGGCGATGGGTTTGTTTAATGCGACTGAGGTGCGTTCCATTTCTACCGAAGTCAACTGTTCGGAGAAAATATTGAGACGTTTGAAATTGCACTTGGCAGTACATTTCGCCAGTATGTTAGCATCGGTCACCAAACGAATGTCCTTATACTTTCTACAGTTTTCAATCTGTTTTCCATAACACGCATTGCTCAAAAGTTTGTAAAAATCTTTCGATGCGCTGTCGCTAGCCATTTTACGTTTGTACGTGTTGATATCGATATAAGGTTTCATCCATGCATACTGAGCGAATCTGACTACGGCGTGAATATGTTTCACTCGCATTCCCAGTCTCAAGTAACACTTCAACGTTTCGAAATGAACAATGTAGTTGTTTTTGTCGTAAAGCGTGCAAAACAATTTTTTCCCGCTCGATTTAGTTTTAGATAGACCTAATTCTTTTAAAATCTCTTCACAGTACGGTGAAAATTCGTTCGATGGTATGTCTCTATGCATTGGCGCAGGAGGGAATGAAGCGAAGAAGTCGTGTAAATGCGGAGGAATTGTCAGATCGCATTCTATCACATAGCCATAGTCTCCGTCATAAGGGACAGACATCCAGTCAATGCTGTCAAACACGTCACGCTCTAAGAACTCAAACTTCCCCACGGGCAAGGGCTCTGTCATACAAGTAGCGTACAGGCTATTGACGTCGTAGTACAACAAATAACCCGTCTCTTTTGTAGGGTCGTACTCGTCCCCCATGTACACGTTGTTACTTTTGAAATAACGATGGCTGATGAAACTACATCCACCCCTGATACCCCTCTCAAAATACCCGTACAAATCGGGGGGTGTTAAGAGACGTAACTGAACACCAGTGAGCTTGAGGCAGCTCATGTTCGAGAAACCGGGCAGACTCACAAAATGAAACGGCTCGAGACCGTAGTCCTTCATGCACATAGATCGAAACATTTGCATGACGTCGCATAACAACAAGGTGTCTACCGTCACGTACAATTTCACAAAATCATTCATCGATTTCATGTCAAACGTATGCCAAAGTTGTTGTACAAAGTCATAATCTGGATCCGAAATTCCTTCCTCGCTCAGCGAAGAATAAAACTCATCTTTGGACGGTAAACATGTCTCACCCAATACCTCAAAACTGCTCAGATATTCATAACAGAACGGTAATTTTCTCGTCAAGAGGTGTACATGGTGAGGATACTGTTCATTTAAATGTTGAAAGTGCTCAATGCCTTTGTCTTTCAAGTTTTTAGTTAACTTGTCTAGGGAAGCATTCAAAAATTTATAAGAATCCAAGAACACGAGGTTGTCGACGCTGAAACTTAAAAAATTTTCAGTATTGTGACCAATACAATTTAATTCTCTGTCCGAAAAGGCTTCAACAGCCTGTAACAACAGATGTGTGTCGTACTTTTCTGCATTGTGTAGCACACAAACGACCCTCTTTCGTTGTCGATAATTGAGATTACAGTCAAAATGCGCTAACCCTCTGACCCGACCTGTTAAATGATCGTGGTCCACGACCGGCGATGACAATTCGAACCCCTCTCCGCATAACCAACAGACATCATCTATGTTTATCTCTATGCCATCATCGCGAGAGATGATGGGGTCAACTGGATTTGCATAAATTTCGTCTTGGATCCAATCGTAAGCCTCTAAAATACTCTTCATAAAATGAATACCGGCATCGGGACCGGTGTACACTTGCAAGGGTTGACAATAGTCTTGTACACGACTAATCAGTTTGTAAGCGTAGGCACAGGGAACGTGAGTTTGGAGACGATTAGAATCCGGATCGTCTTGCGGTTCGAGTACAGATTCGAAATCGGCATAAAAAATGAAATCGCATTCTTGTTCGTAGGATTTCTGACTCAAACCGTATTCGAGCAAATCGCCATCATCATCTTCACTCGGCATTGTGATTCTCTGGGTTTTTTGATTACAATAGGAAGCATGTTTTTCGAAGGCCGACTGGTTTGTAAAAGACCAAAGACATCGTCGACACACTTCACTGTTTCTTTGCGTAATAGATGATTTCACCAAACTCGCCAAGTTGGTAATTAAACAGAAATGACTCTTTCCTATATCTGTTAGTAGCAAGAGATCGATACATCGTTCGCGAGGAACATCATCCTGTTGTTTACTAATGAGAGCAGGATAAATGTAACCTGGAGTAACGTTACCGCGTTTGTCAACCACCGGTTCTTCATACCCATATACATTAATGGATACATTGTTTTGACTTTCAAATTTAGAAACCTTTTTTAAGGTCATGGGAAAGGAGATACCGTTTATATTAAACTTATCGATGTGGGGCAAGTAATGGATTTCACGTTCGCGATGAGACTCTGGCGGAGCGGGGAAAAAGTGAGCTATCACCGAATACAGAAAACACAGATCATCGCTGTTGTCTATGTTCAGTATTGATTTCTTATGTCGTTTCAATTCCGTGGGTAGATTGATGAACGATGAGCCACGAAAGGGTCTGAACCGAGTTACGGTTAGTTTGACGTTGAGCACTCTTTCAAAGTTTAGATTTGAACTCTCTCCCTCATAGTTATCTATACGTCGTAATAATGTATTGACGTGCTGGTGATATTGTTCGATCAAACTGTCACCCTCCGTACCAACTACCATCGGCGAATGAAAAAAAGGTTCCGTGTGATTCACTTGTCCATCGTCTGCTAGTTTTGAAAACTGAACGTGTAGACACAGCCCCCATTTAACAGATTTTTTTTCGTCCATTTCCCTTCTTACCACATCAATAACTCTCTCTTGTGTGGACGCTAAATACAATAAAGGGTCACTACCCTCATTAATACCGTTTGGTGTGAAGTTAAATACCCTAGCCTCACCATCAAATGCTTGACGCGCGCACCCGTGAGGTATGCTATTTTGTCTCGTGTTAGATTGTGTAACTGGTGTCTTCGTTTGCCGGCGTCCTTTAGCACGACCGCTGCCCAAAATTCCACCCCTTACCGACCTACCGTTCCTGGCGGGGCCTTTCCCTTTGCCAGAGAATGAACCGTGCTGCCGACGTTTGTGATAAGCTAGTTTGTACTTACTGCTACAGGAGAAATTGCATTGTTGACAGAAAAAAAGAGATGGGTGATGACGTCGCACATGCCATTTTAAGTAATTTAGATTGGTGTATTGTTTTCCACACTTTTCACAACCGAACAGTTGATGAACTTGACAATCTTTTAGGTGTTTTCTCAAAGCCGAGAAAGTGTTACTTTGCATTCCACACTTGCGACATTTTAACGTTTCTCTATGACATCTAAGAATGTGTTTTTGTAAATTGTCTTTTCTGGTACACACAATGTCAAAGTGATTGCAAGGAAATTGCTCGGGTTCTTGTTCAAAACAACTCTTTTGATGACGATATAAGTTTACTTTAGATGAGTATGATTTCTGACATAATACACAAACATAGACCGGACACGTTGTGTAGGATGACATACTATCTATTCTCTCCTTGTACAATGTCTATGTGTTACCCGTTACGCTATCCATATAAATATATCTGTAAGAGTAAACATAAGGTTGTTAAACATACGTATGCACTCGCTCAGTATCGCATAGCTATAGAATCATATATATACCGCACTTACGTTTTTTAAAATGAAATCTTAACTCACTTACCAATTCGTTCAAAGTCGGCGAAGAAGTTTCAAACAAGGTAGATCTGTGCGTGTGAGGACCAAAGTCAGAGGTTGTATTCAACTATAAGCAGCGTGCTCAAAGTGTCCTTCCAAATTTCCGTTGCTGACTTTTATACTTAACCGTATAATACGAGTGATTGGTTAACTTAATGAATACGTTTACGACTACAAACATTGTGAGACATCATCGACGAATCACTGGTTCCCGATGTCATCCTAGGTAACACCTACTTTTTTATGATTGATAGATGATGTGAAAACATACATCGTCAATTCATTTTTGTTTTGTTTATGTTTTTTTTGTTGTTTGTTTATTTCGGTTTGATTCAGTTAACTGGACGTCACACTATCTATACACTATAATGTACTAGTGTTTATGTTACAACTCTATTGATTTTAATATTGATATGGACACGATATGACTGAACTAATGCCTGTGCACTAATAATACTCCCATTCACTGACTGTTGAAGTATGAATGGATTTGATATCTTTATATTAACCTGATGAAAGTATTCGAATGAACGAAACTAAAAAAAAGTTACTTACGGTAAAAGTGTATTTCTTATTTTATTTTTTAATATGGCCTCTGTTTTAAAATTCATTTATAACCTTTTTATGATGAGCAATGCATTTTTTACCATGGCAGTATTGTTTTCATATACGTAAATGTGTAGAGTGAGAATACAATTTTCTCTGTCACTATCCGGACGATTTTCGAGTGTAACTTAAACGTCCATAAGTAAGCTTAAGGTCTAGATAAATAAAACAGGGTTCGACTGTCACGAAATCTTTTACGTTTCATAACTTCATCTGACAAACAGGATAAATTTGCTAGGTGGTGGGACGAGACTGTCACAATGTTCTTCAACTTTGACTAGAATACCATAAAATACAATAGGAACGTACTAGTGGAACCCCATCTTGAGTATTTTAAAAAGATAAGCACTGTTATATTTGAAACTTTACATACAATGCGAGCAATCGCGCACTAACTCGAACCCACTTCTCGGTTGCTGTAGACAATAAGAAGACA